ATATTTTATTCGGCACAGGAAGAAATGTAGCCATCTCCATGTAACATTGGTTCAGAATTTGATTAAATCTGTACGCTACATTATTAGAAACGTCACAATGCCGTTGCCCAACAGACATGGAGCAACAATACTGTTCAATTGGAATTATATTTCTGGCCATTTATCTGAATCTTGGTCCTCAAATATTTATTAAGATGCTAGATGCTCCATAATTAACACTAGCTAGACATATTTCTTGCCTGCTGTTTGGTGATCACAACTCCGTCGCAGGAACAGCTCTGCCTGGAAACAAGGAGTTTGTGGGACGTTAAAACTCTAAATAGATCTATGGGGAATTACAAAGTTTGGTGATAAATCTTTGTGTGTTCATTACTGTGAGCGACCCATTTCACATAACACATTGAGAATGATCGATTGTTATAAAATGTATTTGGATTATGGATTAGGGCAGCTTTAATGCAACAAATTGGTACTTATTTTGGCTGATAACATCTTTAAATCACTTAAATGTTATCGTGACAGGATCCAAATGAGTATGTCCTAGCCAAGGCTACTAAGGCAATTTATATAATAGCTTTGGATGGTCCAACTCTATTTTACACACATTGTTTGAGGTAAGCTTTATGAAAAGGTCATATTAGCTACATTGCTAAAACATTCAAGCAGGAGAGCCCACATTCGACAGAAAGGTGAAAACCTGTTTTTAGGAAATTGTTTTGTTGACTGAGCTGTGTCTGTATCGTTTCTCTTCAGCTCTCACTACCTTTCACTGTCTGTTTTTTTTCTGTTCTCACACACACAAACATGTACACACACACCAACAGAAAGCATGTATCTGCTTCAGCACAGAGAAGACAGATTAGAACCTTCTCCAGACCTCACAGTGCTCCTCATCTGCTGCGGCCTGATAAGCCCTGGAGAGGCTGTCTGTTGCAGCAGGCGAGAGTCGAGAAAACCCCGCCTAAAGCTGCCAACAGTGGAACAAAATATCAGTGAAATATACCTAACAATTAGTTTAGCTAGGTGGCTTCCCTAAGGGCTGCACATACAGTACGTCTTACTCGTTAAAAAGCTCTTGCGGTTAGGTCCAAGTTTATCAAACTTGCTTTTTTTAGCACTGAGGTGAAAAGGGGAATCTGGTTATTCTGAAGGGTCGGTGGCCTGGAACGGGTAGGCAGAATAAATCCAATATTGCAGACTACTTTGCTTGCTTGCTCACATTTGTTCTGGGGGCCGGTAAATCACTGGTTTGTTGGGGCCTCAACCTCGAGAACTGCCAGTGGAGCAAAGAGGGCGTGCAAGGTGAGGTGCAGGGAGAGGTAGTCAATACATTTGATAGAGTTCAGCCCCCTGGCACTTCACAATTACTCTCCTGCACACAGACAGCACGGAGCAGCCAACGCCTCTCTCTTTCTGCAACACAAGTATTATCTTGATGAGGATCAACAGCTCTGTTCTAACAATCTGCCCGTGTGATTCAGCACTTAGGGACAGATAATGTGACCGAGAGCAAGACGTTCATGTCAACCAAGATTAGCGTTAGAGCAGGTATTATCTGATGATGACGATGGCTATGGTGATAGCCGATTAATTAAAAAGATTGACTGATTAAATCACAGGGACATAATTGGTCTCATCGTCAAGCTCAATCATTTGTTTTATTGTTGGCAACTAGCACGTTCGTCTTATCGCGTCCTTTGCAGGCTTATTATACTCTATCCATCATCAAAGCATTTCTTGCACACAAACGAAAGCATGCTAAAAGGCCAATAACGAGGCGTTGGGAATGAAATCTCCATGGCTTTGTTATTGATTGGAGATGTTTACACGACAGCAGAAGTAATGTCTTCACGGTAATATTTGGGATATTTGGGAATATAGCTCAAACAAATACATTCGCCGGAGTCGTGTGGCCAGGGAGGGTGATGGATGATGAGGGCGATGCATCGGGACGGCAGACACCTCACCCATTAATCTGCAGAGCTGCTCTGTCTGTGTCTGTTTGCATGGCAACAGCAGCTCCCCATTACTCATTTAGCCGTCCATTATCAGTTTGTTGATGAAGGAGTTTGCCTCTAAAAGATTCGGAGGGTACTTTCGGCTCCTCTTCGGAAACTCCTACAGGCTCACTAAGGTGTGAGTTATGGGCGGCGATTCCACTTAATTACTGCACTCACCATATTTCATTTAAAAGCATCCCAAATTAGGTTTCTCTCGGAAACTGCTTAAAATTCTTACACCCCAATTAAGCACCTCAATCGGTATGTTGTGAATCTCCGATGCCTAAAAACGTATGGGAGTAATGGGAGCATATGTCAAGAGGCGCGTTCACACCGGAGTACTTATCCCCGTACTTTGCCCTGTACTTTTGCCGTTTAGTTCCGTTGGTACCCCTTATTTTGCGTTCACACCAAAAAGAGTACTTAGTGCCGGGAACTTTTACCCCCATTTTTAGAGCCTGCTAGAGAGGTGGTACTCTCCTCGGGGGAAAAAAGTACCAATTTCTATTGGCTGGGCAAATTGCAAACCATGCCCCGTAAAACTCTGAAAAGTTTGTTGAAGCCGCCATTGTATTTGCTGGCATTAGCATTATTAGCATTAGCATTAGCCCCGCGCACCAACGGAGAGAGAATAGTAGAAGCTGCTGGGAGTCCCAGCAGCTTCTACTGCTTAAGCCAGTCCCCAACTCCGGGGACTTCCGGCCGGGGACTTCGGGTGGCAGTATACGCCGTGAAGTGGTTTGCGGCCTGCCAATAAACCCAAAGCAGAAGAAGAAGAAGTGACGTCAGCGGCTTCATTTGCGTAATCTTCCCTCAGGGAACTTATTCCGGTGTGAACGCGATCTGTACTTAGTGCCAGGCACTAAGCGCCGGCACTAAGTACAGCAAAGTACTTGGTGTGAAAGCGGTCAACCGTTGTAAACTGTGTCCTACTCATTACAAGTGTGGGCCTCAGTATACCTGTACATTGAATAAAATATGTATTTTGGCCTGTGGTATTTGAAGATTCTGTCTTAGAGATGGAACATTGCTGCCAGTTGACATTGTGAGTCATATTTCAATACCAGGCATTTTTTGCAAAAATAACCCTGCTGAAAAATATAAGCAAGCCTTTCCCACAACTACTGTACTGTTGGGGCTCTGTGCACAATGAATTACTGCTAGAAGAAACTTAATAGTGACCATCCTTTACTGTCTGTGTACAAGCACACCACTGGTCCACTGGACTTAAAAAAGGGGGGGAATGAGGATTTTGCCATTTAGGGGCAGAAAGGTAGAGGCACTCTGTTTTTCATGAGGCTGTTTTGCAGGATAACCCCAAACTTGGCCATTTGATTCATCGTTCATCAGACTTCTGTAATGGAACATGATTGGACAATTCAAAAATCTCAGTATTCTTTTAAAAAAAAAAGAAAAAAATGTCACAATGTGGTCATCCCTGTTTGATGGCTGGATGTAGAATTTAAAAACATTTGTATATTGAGTTGTCTTATTGCATCTCTGACACCCAGCCCATAGCCAAAAACAGACAGGGGCCAACACATCAATCAGATCGACACGCTTTCGGTGTCCAGACCTCTCTAGCAATTTCAAGCCACTAATTAATCGCTGTCAGCTCCTCTTCATGTATTGATTCTGCCTAAGCCAGGGTTTAACCTGGACTCTGTTCACTTTGGCGGCTGTCTACAATGAAAATGTATTGTCTCACATGTGACTTCAAAGAGAACTTTGGCTTAAACTGATTTATTTTGTTGCCAAACCAGTGGGATCTGGCTTCAGAACTTAGTTTGGCTTGTTAATTCAAAAAGTGGCAACACCCGAGTCTAAAGCCACAGCTGGATGTCTGATCTGGTCTTTAAATAGAATTAATTAGAAGTTAAACAAAGACAACTTTTCTTCTATCAGTTAGTATCCTGGTAGTGTTAGTGTAGTATAACCTCAGGCTTTATGTAAGATCAAAAAGGCAAGGCTCACATTCCTCATTGAATTCTCTGTAGGGGAGCTTTCTCCCTGTTAGTTATTTTGCTCATTAGCAACCACTGATATTCATCAGTTTGAAACAAAAATGCTTGGTTTCACTCATGTGAAGTGCCTCTTTTATTGAGTTTTTCAAACAAACAATGTGATTAACCCAATGATTCTCAAATGAGTTCTAGACTCACAGTTGTAGGCCAACCTGCACTAACATCAACAACAAACCTTAAAAAGGGGTCTTAAGTCATCTTTAATGAAATATTTCCAAAAATGTTTGTAGTTCAAAAGTCCTTTTTTCTGCAAAGCAGTTTTTGTCCAGATAATTCACTCTGTCTTGCTTGTCTGATCAGTTGACAATGATGATACACTTAGTTCTTAAATGCTTATTAAAGTAAATAAAAGAGAACATCTATAAACGCTTTAATAATAATAATACATTTAATTTCAAAGCGCTTTTTCAGGTGCTCAAAGACGCTTTACAGTGGTGATAAAACGAGAAAAAATAGAATAAAAAATATGAAAAGAGCATCACAATAATTCACAAATTAAAAGCCATTCTGAAGAGGTGTGTTTTGGTCAGTGTTTTGAAAGTGGGGGGGTCGGTGCAGTCTCTGATGTGTTGTGGAAGGGAGTTCCAGAGGGTGGGGGGCCGCATGTTAATTTGTCATCTCATTGAGTCAAGTTTATCCACTGTAAATTAGTTTCATACAATCCTTCCCCATTCGTTTTTGATTATTTTAGTAATGCTAGCAAGTGACACAAGTGTCAGTGCACTTGTCAAACTCGTAGCAGATATTGATTTTGTTTCCTGTAGGTTGCGCTGGTCTGCATGTACACAGTATACAGCTTGTCTGATAATGACAACACGGGAAGAATCTGCAGAGTTTTGAAAGTATATGGGTTGCTGTTGAAAAGTTTTAGGGTATGAATGAACTTAATAAGCACATTCCATGAGGTGCTTTCCATGTTGATATTATCGCTAGATGTTATTTATTTTATTTTATAATCTGTATTTCCCTTCTACAGGCTGCCCTGTAGATCCCAGCAAGAGGAAGGCAGCAGACGTGATGCCGTCCCATCCTCACATCATCACGCCTTGCGTAGTCACCGGTGGCTTCAGAGGAGGAAGCCTGTCGTCGAGAAATATCCTCCGACTCAATGGTAAGCATTTTCATCCACAGCCCAGTGGATCCTGTCAGTGTTAATGTACTAACATATCAATTAACTTCACTTTCATTAACCGTGCAGCCAACATTTTATTCCACTTAGTGTATGTCTAAACACATGTATCTTTGTGGATTCTACGCCACAGAGCAATTAGTGCCTTTCATTTGGGCGGTGACCATGCTGCTGCTTTTATCAACACCACCAGATCCATTTCACATTTGGTCTCTTGGCTGCTCCACTGCACCACTCAATTTTCAGCCTAATTGAGCCTGCAGAAGCATCTCTGGTGGCCCGCCACAGTCCAAGTGGAGGAACACACACATTCAGGGAAAGCCATTTTTTCCTCAATTAGACAAGCTGTTTCCAGTCAACTGATTTATATTCCTTAATTTGTCCTTTTAACAGGGCTATGCTTCAAAGACACACACATGCAGTTAGAAGCATCAGAAATATTAAAAAAAATGTATTAACAAAAAGGAAAAGAGGACCTTTTATGTTTTTTTGGGTTTTCCCTATCTTGTAGTGTGTAATATATGTTTGTGTGCAGGTATATGGTCTGCAAAGGCTAACATCCCAAAGCTCCCTCCAGATGGAGTTTCTTAAACATATTGTGTAAGGGACAGGCTAAAGAGGCGGGACATCTCTTGGTTTACCGATCACAACAGAGCCGGCCAGCTAACCAATCAGAGCTCTGGTTTCAGACAGAGGGTGAAAAGAGGTGCTGCAGCACAGGCAGTATGAGAAAAATAAAGAGCTTTTTGAACATTAAAGCATGGAAACATGTCACAGTAGAGTCACAGAATACAAATATGAACCTGATATGCATATGCGCTCTTTAAGTCTGGCAGATCTACATTTACATCACACCCTGAGGAGAACAGACCTCAACATTCTTATACTGTATATTGTATTACATTTCACATATATTTGCGTACTAAAACACTGATCATAAATATTCATTTGAAATCACGGATAAACAAACATGTGCTTTTACAAATAAATGCATGCTCACTCCAAACATATTCCCCAAACTGTTGCAATAATGTATTCCCAGCTCTTGTCTTGTTACTGTGCAAACATGGTCTGTTCACAGTTTGCTTTGTTTCTTACCTGTCTCCCTCATCCTCCCCACCATCTCCCCACTGCTCTTGTCTCTCTTACAAACTGAACTCTTCGTTCTTTCCACTCCACCTTCCTGCGGCATTCAAAAATACAAGGACCCTAATTGCTTTCACTGGAGCCCACTCTCAACAGTTAGCAACGCTGTGTGTGTGTGTTCGTGTGTGTGGGTGTGTCGGTGTCGGTGTGTGTGTCTGTCCCACTCCTGCCTGCCTGTGGCTCTAAAGGAAGCAGACACTATCTGGTTAGGTGACTGGCACACGACTCAATGCCTCTCAGATAAGAGGACTTGGGGAGAAATGTCGGGGATTTAGAGTGGGGCAAGAAAAAATAATAAAACCTGAATAAAAGTGTTAGAAAAAATATATATTTTTTTTTTAATATTCTTCAGTTTGTGTTGTGTTTTTTTTATTCAAATACAGCATAACTAGTTTTAGATAGTGGGGGCTGTTGTCTGGTTAGATGCCATTGGTTGTTGTAACATTAAGCAGTATGTTAGTCTAGAGAGCTCAACTCACTGCAGCTAAAGAAAACTCGTTTGTATTGTTAGATAAAATGATGAAAACAATATTTTAGAACACAACACATCCATCTGTAAAAAATGTAATGCATAACCCAACTAGAAACAAATTGCAATAAGCGCAGAACAAACAAAACTGAGTTAGAAAACAAAACCAGTTTCCAGGGAACTCTTAAAAACTCATGAACACAATACATTTTTAATTGTCTTAACGTTTGATGAATAGCAAATATCTCCAGTAATATTGGCATCATGCAATCTTAACAGTTGCTTCCTGGGAATCTACATTTTTGGTTGAATCTGTTTCTTAATTTGCAACTGTTTTTCTTCCCAAATTGCAAAAGCCAATGATGGCCTTTTCTTAATTTGCTCGTGTTTTCTCAATATGTATGTGTTTTCCTAAACTCCAGTTCAGCAAGCGTCCTATTTAATGAAAGTTCATGGTGGAAATAAGATACACGAGATACAGAGCCGATACCAAAATACTTTTGAAGCCTTTCTTTGGGGAATAAACAGGTTTTTCGGAAACAATTTTTATTTTCCATTCAATGCCTAAGGTCATACAAGAACTTCTGGAATATCGGATTATAAATGTACAACCCAACTAGCATTTGGTACTTTTTGGCCTTTTTTTCAGTGCTTCATTCATCTTCCTTTAGTTTTAGTTCATATAGACAGTTCTGTGTTTTTGTTTTTCAAAGAGTGGGATTGGCGTATGTTCTTGTTGAATCTTTTCTAGTACACGGGTATTCCCATTTCAATCCAGTTCAAATTAGACTGGATTACTGACTCATACCATAGATGAATCAGGTATTTTAATTTGATGTTTGGTGCAAAGGATACATTCCAAGGATAATTTAGGAGGAAGGAGGCAGTCTGTTTACCCAGCAGTAGGGCTTTGGCCCAGTTGTAGTGGTGCCAGTTGTTTGACTGGACTGTTGTCTGTGTTCAAGCTGTTGTTCCTTGTGCTCCAACAATACTTTAATCTGTCAGCGCCTCTCTCCCTTGGACATTTGGAGGGTTTTTGAGAACATATGGTCAAAATGGCAAAGAGATTACATTGCGCTCTGTTCAGTTAATATATTCATTATTGCGGCCTGTCTCTCCTTCACAGCGAGGAATGCTGCGCAAGCACACAGACTGGAGATGGATGGGGATAGCGGGCCATTGTTCGGACGCGGGATCGGATCGGACTCCTTTGTGCCCGCAGACCATAACCTCAGCGAGGCCGACGGTGTGCGCCGCAAGCTCGACTGCATGGCCGCCGTCCATCAACGGGAGGGCAAGGAAGAGGCGGAGGTCACGGTTAGTTCAAACTTTGAACTTGGGCCATTGGGGAGATAGGAATGGCTGCTTATCTGTAAAGCAGAACCATCACAGGCCGTCTCAAATCTCAAACGGACAACAAGGCAAAGAAACTGCTTTCATTCTTGCCCTGAAACAGTCAGGAGGCAGTTTTCATCGAGGCGTTGATCTTCTCGCAGACAGCGTGCCTGTGTTACAATTCTCGGGGCGATGTGCCCTTCAACCCTTGTGTTTCAGTGACTGTACAAGAGGGTGTTAATTGTTCTTCTACCCGAAAGCTCATCTTGTACTTTCACTCATGGGTGCTAAATGCTAAATGTGATTTTGGCTGTGGTGCATGTCTGTCTCAGACATTTTACACATCGCATTTCCTGTGGTGAGACCTGTGTTTTAGTTGTTTCACACCTCAGTAACAGCCGATACTATGTGGAATATTACTCTGCTTGCACAGGAAAGAGATTTGAGGAGTTGCTTTGCAGTTAAATTAGACTTTTCTGCGCTCATAGCCACAACCTAATTTGGTCGAGGTTCATGCCGGGCATAATTTCAGTGCAAGGAAAAGCAAAGTAGAGATAGCCATTCTGTTTTCTTTAACCTCTAATGAGGGACAAAGCTTTAGATACGTTATCAATAAATCAACGCTAAAACTCTGTATATTATGTTGATTATTTTCCCTACACCTTTACTTAGTGAGCGATGGAAATGTAATGTATGTAATTGTTTTGCCAAACCTTTGAAAAATATAATGGCCTTAAAGGTTTTGAACAGGTGGTTTCAACGCTGTGCCATGAGGTAAAGTTTATTACATACAGTAAAGCTTTCCTGCTGGAAAAGCATCCATTCCAAGTACATCATGTTCCAGCTATAACATCTGATCAGAATGTAGCTTTGGAGGGACTGTACATGAAGAATATGTTGTTGTATGCCTTTCAATACAATAATTGTTGAGATTCCGGAACAAAACAAGATTGATAGAAAGACGTCAGATGGTAAAACGATTGGTAAATGTTGGTAATAGTCTCTTGTAGCACTACAAATCTGTGTTTTCAAACTGAAGCAAGTACGGTAAGTCAAGTCAAACCAGGACGTTTCTCCGTAGACTGTGCTTCATGTTTACAATGGAAAGTTTGAATAATCACTTTACATATCTTACTCTCCTGATATTGTGTCACCTGTTGTGATATTGGAATTTCCTTTGCCCTTGACAGGGTCGGACTAAGGAAGCACGGTTGGCCAGAGGACTTAATAAGATGAAACCCAGCGAACAGCACAGCAAGGCAGAGTGTATCGCCAACATGCTGAGCCAGGCCATTACTACCCAGCACCTGCTCTACGCCAGCCTGGGCTCTGCTGAGTACACAGAGTTCCTCCTTAGAAATCCCTTTAACACACCTCAGACCGTCACAGTTCACATTGACGACCCTGAGCTCAGGTAAGACTCTGGTTTGTTTCCTGTGATCATTTTCCACGTAAAAAGAGGAAACCTGAGAACACTATGACATGTGTGTACATTGATAGGTGTGATGACCACCTCCGACTGTGATGATGTGATTGTTTTCCATTACCCCCCTCCCCATTAGCCGCACAGTGAAACTGTTCACATGTTCTCAATGTGTTCCCAAAGGTGGGAGTGCAAAGACAGAACCTATTTTCACCCAGCTTTAGGAAAGGATGCTGCATCCTCGCGCTTGAATCTCCCCAATGTGAGACATATCCAATCCAGTGCTTTGCTCTTTGAAGGGATGCTTTAGCCCTTCCCTAGTTCCTCTGAATTTTTCACCACTAGTCTTAGCTTCAAGGGTTGCTTAAAACACCTTGTGAATACAGAATGCTTAACAGAAGAGAGCAGTAAAGCAGCAATGTACTGGAAATGATTCAAAGTGCTCCTTTTTGGAGGCTTCTCAAAATCAAGACTGACTCTATAGAAAAAGGTAAATTAAAGATGTTTAATTAAAGCTCCATTAAACATCAGTAGGAGCTAATAGTGCCACTAATTCATGATGCAGATTCGTTCCATTTGTCATCGTCACCTTTACACTAATTAGTTGACAGTTGGAAAACAAAGTTTTGTTTGAGGAATTTACATTTTTAAATTAGAATTGTAGCTACCATCATAAAATGTACAGTTATATATTGGGCCGTCTGTGACTGTATAAATCTTTAGTTGACTAGCATTAATAAGGTGTGCACCAAAACGACCAATTAGCCAAAGGTTCAATTTAGAGGGAGCAGCCCTTTCCATTCTCAATCTTCAGTTTCTGTTGTTCAGAATATGTTCTATCCAGTGGTGGAATGTAAGGAAGTACATGTAATACTTAAATACAATTTTGAATGCAGAACGTTTACTTGTAACTGAGTATTTTTACACTGTGTTGATACTTAATAATACATACTTGTTTTTACTAAAGCTTATATGGTTGTGTTGCAGTGCAGTATAGAAATACATAAAGAATAGAAACTTCAAATTCTGTAAGGTATGGTAAAACTGAAGTAAATGATGAAGCACTTCCCCACCAGCAAGTGAAGATGATGTTTGTGTGACTGTGTGTTGTATTCAGGTTGTGGGAGCTGATTCACAGCCCGCTCACAGTTTTGATATGATGCATGTGTGTGTAGGCGTCTACACATTTATGTGTGTGTATGCTTGTACCTAAACACTTCCAGTTTGGAGACGTGATAGGATAAATTCAGATTTGTATCGACTGTTTGCAATCTAGTTGCGGCATTTCTCTCCATTCAAAACACACTGCAGGCCTATAACCATAGAAGCTTCTGGCTCCTCCAGCAGCACAATCAGTTGTCCTTGACACAGATGCAAACATAAAACTGTTGAGATGCTAAACAACCCGTTTAATCCACACATAGAAACCATTATGGCTGATATCACCCGCTCTTGGTATCCATGCCGTGTTTGTTTCCTTCACTTAGCGTCATTGCTAATCCCGAGCACTGAATCTTTTGTTATGGATTCTGCTCATGCCTGAGTTTTGGATTAACATACATCACGTTGATCAACAAAGGCTGGGGTGCGCCATGGATGAATCATTATGGCATTAGCCCGGCCACCGGGCCTACCAGGTTTAATTGAGAGTCATCAATCCCTGCATCTGTCCTCTCTCCGGTTTAGCATCCTGATAGTTTATTTATATATTTCCTTATGAGGTAGCGTGACACTTTACACCAAACCGTCTGCCACCTCTACCAACAGCTAGAAATGTGTAAATTAGCTAGGAAGCTTTTGAATTTAATGTGTTATACTGCAGCAATGTGAGTTTCAAGTATCAAATTAAGGTAACAAGTTCATGTTGGGACAATTCGCTGAGGAAAGCAATGCTCTAAACAGTGTTTTATTAAATCTGCATTAGTGATCTGGTATTTTGTTTGTATGCAACTGTTATCTCCACACAATGGATGAAGTAAAACATTAAATAATGTCATTATTACCTGGTCCTGCATCACAGATGAATGATTTGAAAATGATGCCTTCTGGGTTTATATCTCTTTTTTTACAAGGAAGATAAAATGTTCTCATGATTTAATTAACATTAAAACAATCTTCTTCACACTCAATGCTCCACCTGTGCTACTAGAGAAACAGGGTATTATAAGTCATTTAAGAGAAGATGATGCAAACGGTCTGCAAAGGTTCAAATCCCAAAGATCCCTCCAGAGGGGATTTCTCTCCCACACACCACTGTCTGTGTCTAAGTGGATGTAATTGAAGACCTTTACAAGAGCAGTCTCAGTGCTGTGGTTTGGACGAAAGCCTGACTGGAACACATCCAAACAGTTATTTAAATTAAAAAAATGACTCAGCTGCTGAAAAACAACTGTTTCAATGATTTTACCTAAAAATGGGAGGTTTGATATGGGCCTGTAATTGTTCATTACTGAAGCATCTAGATTATTCTAGATTCTAGAAAAACACTTTTGAAAAGTGCCTGTTGGTATACTATCAAGGCAGCAGGGGGAGTGTAGGAGCCAACATGCTTGTTTTTGCCTTACTTATTATTTGTATTATTATCTTGTATTTCTGTTTGCATCGCGTTTAATTCTTATTGTTTATCACTTCCGGCAATGGTCACGTGGGTGTGGTGTATTGGTATTTAGTCACCTGTTGGATGCCGGTTGGGAGGATATGATGTAGGAAGAGGGTGAATTTGCTCCGATACTTTCTGTTGACCGTCAGGTCTGGAGTTGTATATTGTTTGTTTTCATCTTTATTAAACACCATGGACTACAAATGACTACGGACTCTTACATGGAACGCATCACAGCAAAGAGCACTTTTTAGCCTCTCAGCAGCTAACTCATAGGGAGTTATTGCCGCTACAGGGAGGGTTTCAGTTGTTGTATAATGTCTTCTAGGTCTTTATCATTAATCAGATGGATATGTTTCATGGTGTTTGAATTGATTTTAAGTGGACACAGGGAAAGGAAAACATTTGCTGTTCCTGGTACAGAGGCACTGACTGCTTGTCTGATTTTCTGAATGTTGTCAGTGTTTCTTATTTACTACAAACCTACAGTCTGTGGGTGCAACACACAGGCGCAGACTAAAAGTCATTGGTTGCATTAGGGAATGTTCCTGAAAAGTAAATGGATTTTGATGATAATTCCAAAGAAATCCTTTGATCTGAATTCCAAGTAATTATCACTCCTCTACATGTCATTGTGTTATGCAAACCTTTTATTGAAATGTACAACATTAATTAGCCATATTTAAATTATATATTATTTTCTTACACTAGTCTGCCATGTGTTTGAAGAACTGGAAAATATGTACACAATCAAAAACACTGGCCCCCGTACCTGTACTCTCCTGGACTCTGTGAACCATAGCATGGTCAGTGGGCCGAGGCTGCTTTTCTTTGTCAATATTTTAACCAATATTTGACAAGGCCTTGGGTTAGCACTTTGTTTCTACAGAAAGAAAACAAGTCTGAGCCTCACCCTGATATCAAGCGTCAGGCTTTGAAGGAAGAGTACTTAGAGAGAGGCTAGGCTAGCTGTAGCTTTGATGTCTGCGGTGGTTTAGAGCCTCGAGCCTCCTCTTGAAGTGGAGCACGCGTTTGCTACCTTTACCATCCATTTTGCATGGCTGCTCTTACACTTGGCCTCAGTGTGAGCCATGACTGCTGGCCCATAGTGAGAGGAGATGACAGCTCCTCTGCTGATGTCCACACTGCTGCTTTATCTTTCATTATTTCCCACTCCCATGATGTCTTTCCTGTATTTACCTCAGTCTGTTTGTCCTCTTCACCACCCACCACCACCTATTTTCTTTTGAAAAAAAGATCATGGGAATCTACCCTATGATTTATTTTTTCTGAAAGGCTGAGGGAAAACTCTCTCACACACAGACACACATTGATAAATTGTTGTATTCCAAGTGCACAGGTGGGAATATACAGGTTAGTATCATGGAATTGACTGTAGCATCCCTCCCTAAAGTAAGTGAGGTGGGGCCCTAAAACATTCATAAACTCTCTCTCTCCTATTGAGAAAGATCCTTCTTCTCCATGCCCATGGGTTGGCATGTTTGAAGTTTAAATCAGCACTTCCCCTTTATGCATTTGTGCATGGAATGTTTTGCATTCAAAGGAAGGAGAAACAAGACGTCCCACTGTTGGAAAGTCTTATCTGTTCCTGTTGCTTTTCCTCCATAGAAATCCATTTGATGGAGATTGAGAGGGGTTTTCTCTGACCTTTATACACTTTTATGAAAGCTTTGGTCTGTACTGAAAAAGAACGCATTGTGTTGACTGCTCAACTGTGGAATAAGCTTGCCTCAATTGTTGGCACTACAATGAACTTTACTAGAATTAGATAATGAATGATTACTGTGGTTTGCAATGGTCATGCGTCAAACAATTGCACATATAATCAATACTTTCCTATGTGAGAACGATGTGAAATGGGAAGATTTGTTCCTCCTTTTAGCTTTTGTGAGTTACAGCTCTTTGTTTAATTTTCTTGCGTTAAACTCCACTGTTTTGGCCTTACAAAAACAGTTGCCCATGGCGATCAGATGCCTTCCTTACTAGCAACCACGTCAACTGGCTCCTTTCTATGAAAAGGAGTGGCGGCTTTACACCGCGTTCCTCCTGAATGACTGAACTTCTCACCTCATCCCTCCAGAGAAAACCAATGTATTCCGCATGTGTTCACAATCTTGTTTTTCCGGTTTTTCCATGAACCACCCTTTAGCACCTTAGGTGAGGGTAGGAATCCAGAGGGGAGACTCACGTTTTTCAAGACCTATTTAAATCACAAAAAATATAAACACTAATTTTATTTACTGAGCATATTCAGGATCTCCAGATGATTAACCATTTCGATTTTGGACACCTTCCCTTGTCCACCTTCCAATGTCTTTTATTTACCACTATGGCCATACTCCGTTAATGTTCTGTTTGGAACCATCTTATCATACTGTAGAAGGAGCAGTGTTAAGCAGTAAGGGTTTTATTCCTGATACGGTAACAAATCGAGCCCTGATCCTAAATGGATCCCTTGAAGATATTTTTAAAAAAGCCTGCTTTCATTTCTCTCATGTCCTTTAATCTTTCCATTCAGTGTCATCACTGATACAGAGGAGTGGGGTTACTTCAAAGCACTAACCAAAACTCCAACCGCGCTGGAGGAGAACATGTTCCACTTGGAGGAAGGTGCTCCAGGTCCCAGGGTTTACCTCCGGCCCAAGGAGAGCCTCCATATTCCCCTGAAATATCAGAGCTTCATCTGCGATCACACCATGGCTCTACAGGTAAAGACACCAGAGGTTCATGCTGATGGAACGGTCAACATATAATAACATGTTAAGGAATGGTAAGGATGCCGTTTTAGGCTTGTAACACAATCAGAATTACCTTGGTTTCTCACACTGTTTATTGTGCCAATTTCAGTTATGAGAAAAACATTTAATATTGATTGGCCTTGAATGGTCCAAAGATGTGTGGGAATAGTGCGGGAATAAGAGGTAAAGCAATGATAAAAGTGTACATTTCACTGATATAAATATCAATACATTTCACAGATTATTATATGAAACATCACTGATCTGTTCTGCAGGCAAGTTATACGGTTAATGTCTTCATGTAATGTAAACAGTTAATTTGATGCCGGAAGGACTGTGAGACATACATATTGTTTACAAATCTTATCTCCAGTAGATTGCTGTGGGTTTTACGGCCTCCAGTAAAAAAGAAAAAGCAAAGCGAAGAAAATGTTTTTTTTATTGATAATGAATTTTGATAGCTTTTTTATGTCTTATCATTTCTCGCAGGGACCACGCTTCCTTCCTACAGGCAAAGGTTATCAGCTGGCCAAGAAGAATCTGTCCAATATTGTCGCCGCCAAGACAATCAAGGTAAAAAGTGGTTTGCTTTTCCTTTGTGCAATATTTTCTGTGTATTGGACACTTCTTATCTCCCTCTGTAGTCGCCTGCCTCTCAATCCCTCGGTTGTTTGTTTCCAGGCTGGAATTAGAGGTATGGATTTGAGAAGCATAGTGGATGTACAGTATGTTTCTGCAGAGATAAGAGCTTTAATATAGTCATGCTTAATATTTAAGCATCTTAGGGTATAAACTGTAAATTGATTGTAATATTCAGAGGAGTAGAGGAAGACAAAGCCTCATAAACTAGTATGAAGTTTCTGATCTGGAAGTTAATCGGGTCAACTTTGTGGTACATCACTAGGAACATCTAGTGAACACACACACACACACACACACACACACACACACACACACACACACACACACACACACACACACACACACACACACACACACACACACACACACACACACACACACACAGAGAAGTCTCTGCGGAGTGGCAGCGCACCACCCACCCCCTCCTTCTTCCACACACAGACACAAAGAACACTTTGAAGTGTCAACTATTTAAAAAGTTACACTAGCAAGGCAAGATTGTCAAGTGAAATTATATGCTGAAATCCCTTTTATCTTACTCAACATTGTTTATCTTCTCCAACTGGAAAATGCCTGGCTGGAGGGTTAAACTGTCCCCTATTGGAGGACAGTGGACACGTCTACTCTAAATGAACTATCCGTGTATGGCATTACTGAAGTTATTTTGCTATTTTTTGCACTTATTCAACCGTTTATTATATAAAGAGTGGATGAAACAACGTGAACTTTTTTCGCTTATAAAAACTGTTTAAAAAACCCTTTCTCCCTACTTGGGATTAAACGTTCACATTTGTGCTGCTAAGAAATCACAGTTTGCCAACCTGCAGTACATCGCAATAATCCTGTTGTTCGTGTGGAGCTCTCCCATTCCATGAAATATTTGCCAGTCCGCCAAGAGTGTGTGTCTGCAGAAGGCATTGTGTGTGTCTGTGTGTATTTGTGTGCCGGTGTCAGCACTGCTGCTATGAGCAAAAATCCTGTCAAGAAGTCAAAGAGGTCAGGCCCGGATCAAATCGGTGCCCTGCTAAAACTGACAATTCCCAACAGCAGGACTGTCAGGATACCAGCTTTGGCACGGCCGTCAGTCAGCACACATCACCAGAGCCAAATATGGGCCACTACTGCGGGTCAGCATGGGCCCCGCAAATCTGACACATCAACCATTTGGACAGCTGTTGTTTGGCAGGGGTCAACTTCTGAGTATGAGAATCAATGACTAAAATGTGGAGAGTTAACATATAACTATACTCCTATACTTATTAATATATATATTAACATATGTTAAGCAGTTTTAGTGAAGGTCCTCTGCATTGTTTGGAATGCTTTTCATGCTGTAGAATGGCATAGATTTGTATAAATTAATGTTAGAAATAATTGCACCACATGCTGGGGTTGAATCTATTTTATTTCATTTCATTCCCGAACATTAAAGCCTTTCACGGAATGAGATGATTGCTACTCATTATGAAACTGCTGTAATAACAGCCTCGACTCCTCTCGGAAGGCCTTTTTTCAGAAGATTTTGTAACCTGACTGACGGGATATGCTCCCATCCGGTCTACGGTGCATTAGTGAGTTCAGCTACTGATGTTCTCTGATACAGTAAGTTCCTGGCTCACAGTCTGTGGTACAGTTAAGGCCAAAGGTCTTGGATTTGGTTGGACTTGAAGCTCTGAGCCAGCTCCCCAGCCTTTGCACTAAATATTAAAGCGCTATCAACAAGTGTGAGTGTTTTCCCCCAACAAAGCCTGCAGAAATCTAAGATAGCTGCCCTTTGATTTTATATGTGTAATTGAGATAAACACCTTGTAGGTCGGCACCTTACATCTTACCTGTAATCTAAACACTGCAGCCTTTCTATCGGACCTTAAAATATAAAACAAACATAAACTAAAACAATAATTGTTACATTTAAAAAGGTTCAAATGGTGCCACTGGACAGTATGTGGTGAGGGTAAATGGAATCTTGGCCATGGCTTTTCTGATGGCAGAAAGCCATGATATCCAAGGTGAAGTGGCATTAGCTCAGTCTGTAGGGACTTGGCTTGAGAACCAAAGTGTTGCTGGTTCAAGATCCAATCAGACCAAATTATAGAGTTTGAAATGGTACCTGTAGAAATTCTGCCCTGTTTTGGCACAATTGCAAAGTTCAGGGAGTTAAAGGTGGGGTAGGTCATTTTGGAGAAACCAGCTTGAGTGCGCTAGAATTTGAAAATACACAGCCGGAAAAAATCTGCCACTTCCTTACAGAGCCCCTCCTCCAACACACACGAACGCGCACATGACCAATGAGGGCACGAGATAAGTTGTGCACAGATGGAAGGCTGACAGGCAGGTAGGCCATCCAGTTACTTTAGCCGGGCCGGCTCAGATGATTGGTCGTGCTTTTTACAGTACTACAGCTTCCACAGATGACATTTGTTTATGGATTTTTTGTCAAAGCACTTAAGATATTCATTGCTATCGGGATGTTAAGAGCATTCCATGGAATATAACAAAAAGTGTATCTCGAGCCGGTTTCTCAAACTTACCTACCCCACCTTTAACTAAAACATATGGCTCATCTACTGTCTGGAGCAGGGTAGGATTTTCACCGGCGGCCATGACGGCCATGCCGTCATTGCCCCTCGGTCTGGCCGTGAAGCCCCGAACATAATTGTACGTCCTATGGCCACCATGGCCTGTGTGACCCTGATACTGTTAAAATCTCGAAGTTGCTTTAAAAGCGTCAGAACAGTGGTCTCTGAACTACATTATGCTGCGTTCACAACGGACGCGATGCCAATATTCTCATCGCTCTAACCGCTGGAGTTTCACCGTGGCTTTCAGCTGTGTTTACTCCTGTCATTCAAACAGGACGCGCTGGAGAGGGGGCGGGGCTTATGTCCATGTAAATCAGTGGTTCTCAAACTTTTTCTGTCATGCGAAAAAAAAGTCGGGCCCCCCCAACACAAATAGTCAGGCTCAGTGGCTGCGCCAGAGATTTATTTTGGGGGTGCTGTGGGGTAGCTTGACGTTTCATAGAGGGTGCTCAAACATTTAGTTTTCTACTGCAACATTCCCCACGCATATACACACAGTACACCCACGACTGTTACAATGAAGGCTCGATAATCAGCTCACGGCAAATGGTGTAAGCAGGGGTAAAGTGCTATTTTTATAGGTGGTGTGTGCACCTCACATAGGGGGGTTCGGGGGCAAGCCCCCCCGGGAAGATTTATTTTTAAATATTGAAGTTAAATGCATCAATCTGGTGCACTTTGAGAGCAAAATGAAGAGAACTATGGATACATCTCTCAACACCCATTTGAAACAGAACTGTAAACAGATTTACTTTTTCTTTATGGATATTTTACAAATCACCCTTTTAAACTTTATTCTTGTTTTACTGTCATATAGTATTTAATACCTGTTTTTCATTTATTCTCTTGTTTTTTTATAACTATAATGATCATATAAACGTGTGCCTCGGAATTAATTGTTTACATTAATGGTGACCACAACATTTGAGACCCACTGAGATAACACTCAGAGAGTCCTTTAGTTCACTGAGCCTCTCAGTCTGACAGGAGAGGACTCTCCTCCACTTTGTTGTTGAAAAAACTCCTTATATCCATTAGCGTAGCTCGCTAGCACCAGAAGCTAACAACAACGATCTCCGGTACCGGTGCGCTCTCTCTCTCTCTCTCGCGCGCACACAAAATGGCTCGTTCCACACACACACACACACACACACACACACACACACACACACACACACACACACACACACACACACACACACACACACACACACACACACACACACACACACACACACACACAGAGCTTGAATGAAACACAGAGACCCAGACGTAATAGTACTGTACTGTATCATATTATTTTCGAATCAATAATTTTAGAAATTATGATTTAAAAAAAAAAAAAAAGTGTAATCTTTATTTTTTTAACCATTTTTCCTCCTGGTCTCTCGCGCCCCCCCTGGGCATGCCCCCCACATTGAGAACCACTGATGTAAATACTGTGGTGGAAACAAACTACGACAAAATTAACCTATTTTACCGTGATTTCATTGTAATACACGTTTCAAAATGATGCCAAAGTAACTAAATACTGATAACGGTTAGTAAAAACCATGCTTTGACAAGTGTGCAGACAAGACGGCAGACGAACAACTTTTAAAATGCGTGTTCTCTGAATGGAGCGATCTCCATTCGATCAGATCAGGCTAAACTAACCTGTATCTGCTCCGTCCAAACTCACAACAACGTCCTAAAGACAGAATTAAAGCAGCGACTGTATTCACCATGACACAGACAGTCTGTGGTTTGTACATGTTCAACTTTTGTCTAGTTTCTGAACAGATATGAGGAGCTGTGAGGAGTTGATTAAAGAGACTCTCACACACACATACACACACACACTTTTGGATTCCAAAGTATTGCTTGTTCATACAGTTGAATGTTGGAGCTTCATTGTGCACTGCTGAATGATGTATATGCAGAGTTTGACCCTTGAAGGCTGTTTCTTCTGCTCTGAAATGGAATATATTTGTTACATATTAATAGATAATATAACACTAATTATTCAAAGTAGAGTATTTCATTTTATATACGGTAATACTAAGGAGGCATAGGCCTATATGATGATATAATGTTTGACATTATTGATATTAAAAAAAGTGATTTGTTTTCCATGTCATTCGTGTGTTGTTCTTATCAGAAAGTGAAGTTATTTATTCGTAAGCTCCAAATCCAAATGTTTCCCTCAATGGCCTTTGTGCCCTGGCATGTGGCCTTTGCACCCTGAAAAAATGTGTGACACCAAAGGCCAAATGGCCTTGCCCCTAAAATGACGAAAATCCAAGCCTGGTCTGGAGACAGGACTATTCTCAGCAGATATCATGTGAATTAGTCCATGAAATTCCTAAAAAAGTATGTATTGGACTGTTAGATAAATAAAAACAAATGCCATTAAAGGTTATTATATAAAAGCTGAAAACCCTCCTTGATTGACCTTCAACATCCACAGTAGATATCTCAAACGAATGTGGCCAAAAAAATCAAACGGGCCGATCCTCAAACTACTAATATTGCTATCTTAGGCCACTTTGCTAACTTATCCATAGTACGACATACTGCTAGAGATACTAAATTAAATACTTATATTACGTATGTAATCGAGCAGCTTCATTATAATTCATATCCTGCAACTCAGTTACATGTAATCTATAATCCTCACTCCCAGCCATAGTTATGCATAGCGAATCAATCTTATAAATGGAGCAAACTAAAGTTTAAGATGGCGTAAAGTATGATGTATGTGGGAGGGTTGACAATTCAATATGTTTGCATATGTTAGTGTGCAGCATGTGTATATACCATCATGTGTCACCATATTTAATTAGTGCATATGTATGTAACACATTTGTGTTGATTTGCACAGATCAGATGCGGAGGGCTATTAAAATGCAGCAAACTTCAAAGCACATTCAGCAGGTCTGTAGGGGTTTCACTAGCAGGATTGAAGCCAGTGTTTATAGTCTAGTGTACAGCAGAGCTCCATCATCATCATAATCTCTAGGGGATTTCTAAATAAAACCTCTCTAAGGCTGCTTTATAAAATGCTGTATATGTTGTTTAGAGCTGAACTGCCTCAGGAAGAAAACATGGTAATGCTAGTTCTGTATTTCACTAACAGCAGTCGAGAACTTTGAATGCAGGTCTCATGACACAGGACGAGTGTAGTTTGAATGTGTAGGTAAACTAAAGAATTTATAAAAATAAAATAAAACATAGCCAAAATTGACAATGGTATACTCATTTACTGTAAATATGTTTAATAGTTAAGATAATGACATCCTGGTTTGATGTTCTATACTTGCCGTAGATGAGCACACAGTTTTCCTATGCAATGAGTTTTACAAAAATGTCTGATACAGTATGCTCAATTTTATATGCATACCCAAATGAAGTGGGTTAGTCCAAAAAGTGTTTTATTTACATTTAACATGTATACACATATTAATTTGATTTGCTCAAAAGTATTGAGCGTAAGTATTTTTCAGTGAATCATTTTCCTTGTTTATGCCCTCAAGCATTCTTAAAATAAAACTGTATGAGAAATAAAAGCTGCTCATAGATTATGAAGAGAGCAAGTAATAATAAGTAATTGCATTTTTATTTAAGTGCTTTACATTACATAATACATATATCAGACATGTAATACATACATCAATACTGTGGACAATACCCACAGGAGCAATTTAGGTTGAAGGGTCTTGCCCAAGGACACAATAGCATATTGACTGCAGTGGCAATCAAGGTGGGATTGAACTGGTGTTCCCCAACTCCCCTGATCTGAGGCTCAGCGCACTATCCCACTGCGCCACAGCTTCCCCTTAAGTGCGTAATAAGGCCATCATTTCTGAAGTTAATAGGGCTTTTTGTAAGGGGCTGCATGCTGAAAGCTGATGGCTTGTTTACAACCAAGTGTCATCCTCTGATCGCTCGTGTTTCTGCCCTGTCGACTTTTTTATTAGTGTTTGGCTGGAGGTTTTTTACTCCCCTGTGTTAAAGGAGACCTATCATGCTATATTTTAATAATATATTGTAGGGCCATACCTATATAAGGTATATTTATACGTTTTTAAAATACCAAACGGATCATGCATTTTAGCCATGCCTCATTTGGCTCTATTTTCCTCTCCTTAGTCCAGCCCTGTCTTTGCATGTGCTGCAGCTGACCACGCCCCCCTGCAAAGGAGGGGGCAGAGTTAGCGTCATGTTACCATGCTGTTACCATGCTGTTACCATGCTGTTACCATGCCACGGCAACCTCTCATTCCCCTGATAGGTGTAGAGTTGGCCATATAGGCGGAACTCCTCGTCACTTACGTCAGACTATTTTCAAATCTGTATCAGTCTGTATCAGATCTGTTGCAGCCCCAGTTTTAGAGATTTGGGTATGGAGGAAAAGAGAGAGGGTTGTGTTTTCTGACACTTGGTGAGTTCCCTGACACACCGGGGACACATATTCATGTATCAAAGACGTACAAAAGTGCATTTTGCATGATAGGTCCCCTTTAATAAATATCTGTTTCTTGGCGGGGTATCGGCGCTCTGCTGATATTTCTTACTTTTTACCTTTTCTTATAGGTAACGTTCAAAGCAGAAGACGGCAAGCCCATGGCCATCTGCCAGGTGAACGTGGAGCCGACCCCTCACGTCGTCGACCAGACTTTCCGCCTCTACCACCCCGAGCTCTGTTTCCTCAAAAAAGCCATCCGTCTGCCGCCCTGGCATGACCCCTCAGGTAGCGCAGGTTACCCAAATTCCCCCCCATCAGCCATTGCTTCCTGTCCCACCCTTCCTCCCTCAGTCTAGGGATGGACTTGGATATTTTTTTGATTTATTGCATCTTTTTGCATATTATTACATTGTTAGTAGTGTTAGTTCATCTTCAGAAGGTGACTTTCCAGGAATAGCTTCAGCATAAAAATGTCCACACAAGTTATTTGCAGTATACAACGTTGATGTGTTTAAATAATCTACTCTACACTTATTTCTATTTTTACTAAAATAGGTACAGAGCAACAGAAGAAATGCGTTTATGCATCACATTTTGTCAGAATGACATCCCAATGATAACATTAAAAGAGACTGCTTAGGGTACGTTAATGTCTGAATATTTCCTTTTTTTAATTGGGTTAATCAGTTGCAGATGTCAGTCACATTTCCGTGCGTTGCAGTGACCCTAACATCATCTGCCAGACGAGGATGCTGGTGAGAAAATTGCTTTTATTATTTTTTCAAATCTTTTCAGTCCCTAAAATAACACAAAGTAAAATCAGTTAATCAATTAGTTGTTGAAATGATTGCTTTATTAATATTTATTTCTTGTTCGCTGTTATGATTCCCCAAATGCTTGCCGTCACATGCAGTGCACTTTAAAAGATCTAACGTGCGGTTTCTTTTATTTCTGACTGTTTTGTTCCTTCATCCCTCCATTTTAAAATGTTTCTGCCTTGTTCTCTGTTTCTGTCTAGGTGCCAGGGGAGCCTCAGGATGTGTACTTGAAAGTGCCAGGGAGTCCCAGTCCACTCATAAAAATGTTCTTTGTGATGGTTTTTACGTATGTATTATTTAATGAACAGGAAACCCCATACACAGTGAAACACACACGCACCCAAGCACACACAGGTTAGCCTGAAGATGCATTATATTTTGGACTAATTAAATTATTCACGCAGGCTTGAATTAAAAAACTAATTAGATGGAGGTTTGGTGGTCTTAACTTCCTGACAGACCCTGTCCTCTAGTCTTTCAAATCTTCATCAGAAATAAGACCAATAAAATGAGTATATATGTTAAAAGTCAGGGATTTATCATTCATCTTTAAGGTGATGTGTATGATAACATTTTGACTACTAACATTTTTGCTGCAGAACTTATTTGCATTAGATTCACTGTGGAGCTTTGTGGTACACATATATGCATGTTAATATGCAGGGTCTCAGCAAGGCTCATTGCTTTGCAAAGCAAATTCTTCTATCTGTCGATTAGTCAGCAGAAGCATGGACTGCATCATCTTCATGCTTGTACAGTAAAAGGGCGTCCCTCTAAATGAAATACACAAAGAGAAAACTGTGGTCAGAAAACACAGGGCACCTTTACATTCAATTAGATTATTTTGAGAGATTTGTATTCACGACCAGACAGGTAACACTTTATTTTAAACTGCAGGATGAGCCTTTTGACTATTTATCCCTAGACACTGAGATCATCCAGTCCTCCTTTGCTGATTTACAACAACCTGGCCCTACGTAATTTGTGTGTTCACTAGTGTGTGCTAAGTAGATTAAACACAGTTATTCAGGAACAGGATCGTAACATTTCCTAGTTTTTGGCGGCCATGTTTAACACGGCATAACACTGGAGCCTCGCTTCAGGGAAACTTTTGCGCTGTTCTGAGTTTGTTCTAATCTGTCAAAATGACGCGACCTCTGTTCAGGAATATTTTCCTCTTTTTAGCTCAATGTGGATTAGAATTATAGATGGTAGGCAGCTTTTGACAGATGGTCCCCTCTACAAGACATGGCAAGTTTATCTTAAAATAGAAAACCCTTCATAGTTGATATTTTATATAAAAACAAACCAACGGATGCAAGTGAACCTGGGAGTTTATAGCCTCTGGGGATTAGTTTCCGAATAAATGTTTGGGAAACGTTAAATAATTGACTGTAAAAGCATTACAGGGAAATGTGATTCAATCCAGTGTTGATGTTGTAACACCATGTACAAAAGGCAACAGAAAATATCACTTTTCAGCAGCTATACCCAGCACTAGTGATATTGCTTCTGCCTTCAGAAACCCACATCACTTGAATTCTATGCCGAATATCCCCAAATGCTCCTTAAGTGCTGTTGTCACAGAGCCGGGCTGAGTAGGTGACTACATCACCTCCCACTCACAGCTCTCATTTCAGCCAGGACCACTGAGACTGAATTCCCTTCCTCTCTGCAGTTGAGAGGAGGCTGATGATGTTGCAGCCGCTTCTTAAAAAAAAATGCACACACAGCTGTAGGTCAGCCCTCCTCATCAAAGACCTGATCCAGTGTCCCCGGGGGGGCTCAGCTTAACTGTTCCCCATGATGTTTTTCTCTGCAGTGATAAGTGGATGGCAGCTCCCTCCCAGATCTGGCAGATTTACGTGCATTTCCTGGAGCGGGTGGATGTCAGCTGTGTGAGTGGCCAGCGGAGCTGTCAATCACTGGTGCTGAGGGGGAAGCAGGCTGTACGCAAGGTCAAGTGCTTCTCGTCCCACCCACAGGAGATAGAGGTACAGTACACATCAACAGTGATTTAAAACTGAACACATTTTATTTGAGTTTGATAATTACACATTACCTTCATTATGCTGTCAAATGTATTGTGTTCTCAATGCAACAGAAGTTATTTGCCTTTTTCTGGGGTTGATTCAACCAAATAAAATCTTGTTTTGCGGTAATTCTACCTTTTCTTCAACCAATCGATTGGTTGATGGGGAAATAAGTCTCCATGCCCCTTTGGACTTGTTACACTCTTCCTGGTGGTCTTAATGCATTATAAATGTAAAATGCTATTGGCAGCATATTCAATATTTATTACCTTATTTTTATTCCTTAATGATAACAAACTTGAAATGCGCACCTGCCCATATTTATATGATATTGAAAATAGAACAGCTATTGAAGCTGTCGCAAAGGACGATCAGGGTCATTATTAGCCTTGTCCATCGGCAGATGAGAGTATATTCACACTAGCCAACCCTCAAAAATGCATATGGATAGATTAAAAAAACGTTTCTCTTATTAAAGTAACAGCAATGGTCAGTCAATCTAGAATTTTAACAGGAAGTGTCAGCCCTACCATTTTCCTGAAGAAAATTGAGTAAAGCTGCATCAAGACCAAAACAAAATAAACCTAGTAGGTTTAGTCAAGTCCAAATTATACTCTGCATTCTATCAAATTAAAGTCTGTATACTAAAACGGTATGTCTTATACCCTAGTCAATCCAAAAAGACCTTGAAGCAGCTCTCACTCTGTGCTGTAGAAAATGTTTCTTGAGGCAGATGGAGAGTGTGAAGTGACATGTATCGCTGCTCTTTTGGACGCTAGCTGCTTGTTAATTGGTGGAGCATCATGCTGTTTACAGTGTTGGTGTTATTTCTGTGTTTAGGCGATCGCATTTTGGATCTAATTGTCTTTGGGTTTGTTCGGAGTCTGATAGTCGTCCGTTTCTCCATTTTGGGTTTTGGACTCATGTTGATTTCTTCACTACTGCCAGAGACACTGCAATCAAATCCATAATTTACAGCACTCTAGTTGTACACATGACTGCCATTTGGAGTTGTAATTTGACAAGATTTCAAAAGCAACTGTAGTAGTAAGTTAAGACGCTATGCTTTGTGTTTTCACTTGTTGAGTTTAATCTAAAGTGAGGTGCTTGTACGATTAATTTCAGTCTTCCCTGTGTGAACTTTTGTAGTTATTTTTAAAAAAAAAGTAGCTTACACCAATGCATATCAACATGCAGAAGATAAAATAAGAGAATTGTAAATAAAAACAGCTCAAACCATACAGTACCTTGAATTCTTTGTACAGTATCTAACATGAAATGGAGCCATTTGTTATTTTTTTTCTCTTAACTTTCAAATCCACAAAAAGGATTTCATGCAAATTGTTCTCTTAGCAGCAGGGGACAATGGAACATAGAGAGTCTCTTTTGTAATAACCCAAGGTTCATATTCGAGTCATTATCCAGAATGTACAAATGTGGATTGACAGCGTAATGGCTATTTTCAATTCATTTCATTTTATTAGGTTACCCCATTACTTCCTGCAATCATATCACATGTTAGGACCCAATCTGACAGAAACCGAAAAACAATTAACGGTTTTACATGTATGCTCCCTGAACATGTGAAATATGTTCCGGGAGTGTCATATCGTCTATTTTAAGATAGATCGTTTCTTATTCATAACTGGGTACAAGCAGGGAGAGAGTTTTTCAAATGCTTCTCAGTCAGAACAGCAGTAAAAGGGCATTGCATATTACTCACTCATATTAAATTAAAACAAAAGTGATGGGCCGCCACAGTCACCGTGGCTGCATATTGTACGACCCAAACGTGTTTTCTGGGAAGAAAAAGGGTACTGGCTGCAAGAGTGACATATATATATTTTGTTTAAAAGATGTCACATTTGCATCGGCGCCCACTTTGATCTGACTCTCTGCAGGTTAGCTCACTGTGGAATGCATCGGAGGAGTCTTATACAATCGGATAAAGCTCACCGTCGGAGAATAGCTTTGCTTTTTCCCAACAGATTGAAAATGAACCTCACAGTAAATCTCATTCTCACATCCTTCCGTCTCTTTGTCACTTTTCTGCCACTACTCTCTCTTATGTTATTGTCGGCCCCCTATTTCACCGAAACTCATTCACCCCTTCTCTCACTCACTCTCCTGTAATCTGTACACCTCCTTTGTTTTCCTCTGGCTCCATCAACCATCTATTTTCAAGTAATTCTGCCTTTTTCTAAATCTTTTTTTCTCAATAGAATCGCTCTTCTCATCATACTGTGTCACATTTTTCTATCACTTTGTCAATGCCTCTATTTCTCTTCAGTAATGTTCTCTTTCTCACAACCCACCCAATCAACACCTCCACACAGTACTGCCAAACTCAATCACCCATACCTTCTCGTAGGTGGACCCAGAGGCGGTGTTCGTTCTGCCTCCCGCCGCCGTGCAGGAGCTCCAGCTGAAGGTGCAGCCGTGGCGCGCAGGAAGCCGCTTCCTGTATGTGAACGCAGTGGATGTGGAGAACCGGCGGCTTGTGGCGTCCTGGCTGCTCTGTCTCAACGTCCACCGGCCTGTCCTGTCCAAGGTATTAGAGGTTTCTTTTTGGCTTTGCAACCTATAATGGTAAAATGTGTGTTTTTAAGTCTCCTTTTCAGCCTTTTCTAATAGCTGAAACACTGTGGCCATCATTCTCCTATTAGAGAGCCTTTGCTAACCGTTGATGGCACTTTTCATTCCTTCAGTACTCCAGCAACACCTGCCGGGTGTCTGCTTGCCCTTTTCAAAACTGGTACAATACACCGCTGATGTAAATGGATAGCAACATACAGAAAAAGTTGAATCAAAACAGCTCAAATCTTATTTTGAATCTTCCATATCTTATATCAATTGATATAATGTCTCATTGTGTCGCCACCCACCTGCACCCAATGATGGTTGACATTATGAAACAGTATTAACACAATGAAAGACACAGTATTTTGTGGATTTAGCTCTAATAATTTTTTTTTTGCACAGCCAAATATCAAACAAATGCAACAACCCAAGACATAGCAAGCCAGCTAAACACGCGACAGTAACTAATCCGTAGAGGTTTCTAAAACGGGTTCCGTTGGGGGCCAACACTGCACTGAAACACCCCCCTCCCAGTTAGCTCCTGACCACCAACACTCTCCTGGTGCTCCGAGCCCATAGTCTTGACAGCATGGCTCACTAAGCTAACTGCTTACTAGCTGACACCAGCTACTGTTAGCATCTGTAGGCTTTTAGCGCTAATTTAGCTAAAAGTTCAGTTTTCTTTCCGTCAGGAAACTCATAACACACATAGATTAAAGCTGAGCAGCTGGACATTAAAGGGAAAACTAAAAGAAATAGATCCAGTTTCTGGAAATGTTTAATTAGTACAATACATCCTTAGACACTTCTCACAGGAGATTATAAAGAGCCGACTTTTGGGCTCAGACTGAGACTGGTGGCCACATTCCTTCCATTACAAGTCAGTGAAACATTAAAATGATTGTTATCTTAGTACAACATTGTTATATAAGTGTTGGTTTAAAGGCAAATATATTTTTTATTTTACAATCTGTTGATCTTTTACAGATTTAGGACTGCTACAAAGAAACTCCTAATTTTTATCATTCTATATAAAAGCATGTGACTTATACTGTGGAAGGTGCTAGATGTGTGGTAAGTGGTACCTGTTCTGTTTGACTCAAAGCCACACTCAGTGCTTATTGAAGCATCCTGGTGGTGTCCTGGGTCAGCGGGAAATTCTCAACCCCTTTATGGCTGCTGTGCTGTCAAGAAAAGGCTAAGGACAGCTGATCCCAGGTCAGCACTCAATCGCCTCTATAACTGCCACCTGTCTCGCCTGTTTGTGTGCAGGCATTTGAAGTGTGTGTCCCAGTGGGCAGTGGGCGTGGCAGCTCCAGGAAAATCACCTACACCAACCCCTACACCAGCAGCCGCTCGTTCCTGCTCCGCTCGGACCATCCTGACCTGCTGCAGTTCAAAGAGGATAAATTCCAGGTGAGATAAGACAGGAAGTCATGCAGTTCTCTTACTCTCATTAAGACCTAAATCAATACTTTAATTAACAGCTCGACCTCAAGGAAACCCTACTCCTTGGAAAAAGCCTGTCTTTGTTGTAGATTGAAATCAAAGCCTGCATCATTACTGGCAGTTGAATTGCATTAACGGTTGCTTGTGTTGTTACCGCCCTGTAAATAATGCGCATTAGCTGTAATGACAGGAATGCTTATTAATCGCATACATTTTAATATGAAAGTCTTGTTTAGGACAAAAGTAATGGAAATAAAACCTTTGCAAAACGTTATACATGCATTTTGAATATATTTAGAATACTGCAGGCAAGATTATTCGCTAACGTCTAAAAGCATCCTTTTCCCTCTCTTAAAAGCATTTATACATATTTTTTAATTCTTCATTTGGAATACATTTATATCTAGGAAATACATTGCTCCTAGACATGACTCAGTGATGTAAAACAGCTGCTTCTTTTTATTGAACTTTATTAAACACAGAACCTGTTGCCGCATTCGTTTTGGTTAGCACCATTCAAGCATACAACACTTTACCAAAGCTTGAATCGGATTATTAAGAATAGTTAAGGAATTGTAATTCCAGTTTTAAATGTTGGATACAACTGGTTGAAGTAGCCTATACTTTATTGACGGTTGTTTACAGATTTGGGCTAATGGACTGTATCTGTATCTTTCACAGTGATTTTGGCGCATTCCCAGCTTCTATTAGAATCAGAAAGATATGTTCTCTTCTATGAACAGTACCCACTTAAACCGTTATGATGACACTGTGAAATTGAAGTAGTCATAAACATGACGTCTAAATGAAGAACTCAGACACATCTTCTTCAGACCTTCAGATTGTTATAATGAGTTCTATTTGAATACTTAGCTAATATCTCACATTGCTTGGATTATTTAACATCATATATTCCAATCATGCAACAGAACAAACCTTTTTCTCCAGTAGTTTCACTGACTGAAAATAATGATTGGCACTTCCCAAGGCTTTTTGTCACTATGAGTAGCATTCTTATTAAATATTTTCACATTCTCCCCTCCTCTCTTGACAACGATAACTTTTCAGGCTACAGCTTACAAGCTGAACAAAGCCTATGACAATGACAATGACATTAATATTAAATGACGCAAAATAAAGATTAGACAGCCGGCTGTGAAAAATGAGCCTGAAAATGTGTTTTCAAAGTGATCAGCAACACAATTCTAAACCTCAGTGGAAATGTATCTGCTGAAGAACAGGTTGCTTAAAATCTCTTGTACAATGTGTACACAGCAGCAGCTTGAGTCCTCCGTCTGTGTCTGCACACGATGCGTTCAGGCACAGTATTGACTGCAGATCTGTGTTTTGGCAGAATGCAATGTAAAATAGAAGAACATTTACTTAGAAATGCCTCCTGTGCAGACGTGCCTTCCCTGTACTGCTGGACATTTCAAATGTATGAGTCATGATGGAGCTGTAACCAGAACATACAATACAGCTATATTTATAAAGCACTTTAAAACCTCCGGACCAAAGTGCTGTACAGTCAAATAAACAAACAAAAACATACAAACAAATCACACAGCACAGCTCACACACCATCAAATTAGTACACGTAAAAAAAAAATGGTTAAAGCAACAATCTAAAAGATGTCAGTACGCTAAGGAAAAGAGGACATACAGTGGACACTTTAGTATTGGATTATCTCAACAGTGTCCTGAACTGATTTATGTCAGGCCCAAAATCAGTTTTGGTGCACTCTTAAATCATGCAGCACACCTACATTACATTACTACATTTACAACTGCAATTTACAATCAAAGTGAAATCAACCGTACAAAGTCAGAACACTAAGAAGCCTGAGAGTACATTCACTTCAAGCAAAGCCAAACCATTTTATAGCGGCCCTATACGTTTTGGGGTTTTTAAGATAAGATGTACGTTATTGATCCCGAATTGGGATTGTTTTGCATTGCACAGCATAAAAAACAAGGGAATGCACATAAGTAGAAATGAAAAGAGTCAAATAAGAAATTCCAAAATGAAACATCTCAAAATATAAATAATACAAGTTTTCCCTTTGCTGTTGTGTTCTATAGTTTGAAATAAGCCAAACTACTTGAAAAAGTATTGGCCAACACCAAGAACTTTAGTGTGAAGGAGAAACTTTTATTTTCATTTGTTTCGTTCCAGTGAAAGATTGTTTTGGACTTCTTCGGTGAGTAAAAGATGCTGATGATGATTTCTGGCCTCTCGCGTTGAAGTGAAAGCTGTTTTTGTTTTCCTCCAGACCAAAACAGTAGGAATCCAAAAAGAGTCGCCGGTGTTTTATTGTTATGTTGTCTACCTCAGTGTCTCTAATAGCTCATTCACTCACTTACACACAGCCATGGAGCGCCGGAGTCACCGCCATCATTGCTTTTCATTTGCCGAGGTGTGATGGAAGGGCAGAACCAATGGGAAAGCAGAATTTTAAATGAACAAATAAATGAGTGAGACGCAGTGGGAGTCTGTTTCCATATAAACTATTTAAGAGTCAGGCTGCTGCTGCTGCTGCTGCTGCTGCTGTCCAGAAGACACTGCATCAGTAAGACAGAAGAAGGTGGGCATTTTGTCAACCAGGTGTCTTATAAAGAATTTACTGTGCCCGCAACATTAAGCAAATGTGGAGACACTCTTTTGACACAAGTTCCTCAGCATGATGAAACCAGCTGTCAGGAGGGAGGGGAAAGAAGAAATCAATACTGCTAGGCTTTTTGGGAAGATTGCAGAATAAATCCCCCAAATTGACCTGTATATCCTTTGCTGGCTATTACCGAAAATACTAGAGGACAGTTTTGGTCTGATTGAAATACCAGGGAAACAAAAGCTTTTCCTTAGAGAGAAGATTATGTTCACTTTCGATGAAAAGAAGGTAATTTACACACAAAAAACAAAGCGTGATGTCAAGAGGTTGGAGCAATTAAGATGCATCATATACATGACATTTATTACAATGCAATAAAGCATAATCCCTTAAGCACTCTGGTATTGTAATATTGTTGCAAAGCTATACAGAGTTATTAACAACAACAGTGGTGGCTGGATGCTCCACTTATAGTTGTTAGATATTTTTCAAAAGTATTCCCATATTTGCTACTTCTCCTGACAAATGAAAGCAATGGCACTACATCTGTTTGGCCTTTTCTTTAGAGGAAGCTACATACACTGAAATAAAAGAGTTTAAGTGAAAAAACATGACCGACCAGACTTTAAAAAACGACCAAAGATAAAACATGAAGGAACAGGTTGTAGTTAATAATAATAATAATAATAAATTCGATTTATAAAGCACCTTTCATTGCTCACAGCAATCCCAAGGTGCTACAGGAGGCATAATAAAAACAAACAAAAGAAACAAAAGTTGAATCAAAAGCGTTTTTAAAAAGAAAGGTTTTTAAGCCTTTCTTGAAGGCGTCAGTGGTCTGTGGAATCCTCAGGTGGTCTGGGAGGGGATTCCACAGACGAGGAGCAGCTGCACCGAAAGCCCGAGTTCTCAGGTAAGGTATGTACTTCACTGTTGAAAAAGAGTTCTCTGGGCAGCAGGTAGGGGATACATGTTCTAGTGCCCAGACGTTTTAAATCTCACACTCACTCCGGCTACATGTGATGTTGTCATATCTTCAAAGGTTGAGGGACTCAGATTTGAAGAAACCACAGTAGTTGGTGTATTCTATGGACAAAGCTGTGGAACCGTTAAGCGGCTAAAATATAACATGTTTATATAACTAAAAGCTTCTACTTGTCCTTTTAACTATGAAGTTATTCATTTAAATGTGTTCCTAGATCTGTTATGAAAGAATAAATGAAACTAAGGAATCAGCCACTTGATCAAATGCAAAATTGGGAAGATTACTTTTTTTTTTCTTTAAATCAAATCAATTCACTGAATGTGTACCTACCTACTGTAGGCATGCACATCTGGACAGAAACTCTTTCTAATCCCTGGCATAAACAAGATACTGACATGAAACAGTTGTTGATCTTCTGCAGGCAGTTAAGAGGAACGAGTCGGCGATCAATGACAGTATGAATGGTCAATTTAATAGGGTTTTCAAAACGAAGGAGATAATGATTACATGCAAGGAAGACGGGTTATTATATCTCTGAGGTAAATAGGAACTTTGTGTTTGTGATCATGAGTCTCCTTTTGTTGCTGAAGAGAAAAGGAGAATCTCTCCCCCTCACAAAGCCTTCAGAGGGAAATAAAGCTTGTTTGTTGTGTTCAGATCGGCGGGGGGGAGAGTTACACCATCGGACTACGATTCGCTCCCAGCCAGAGTCCCGGCTCTGTGGAGATCCTGGTCTACGTGAACAACCTGCAGGAGAGGACGGAGGAGACGTTCTGTGTGAAGGTCAACTACTCCTGACCTGAAGATGTTTGTTTCCTTCCTGGAAGGTGCTGACTCATTTGTCTTTGAATCTATTTTCTGAGTGTGAAATAAACTCAAATGAGCTGTACATGTCCAAACTATCGTAATTTTGTATTGATTTATTAAAGATAGAAATAAACTAATGTTATCACGTGTTGTGTTCAGTCTTTTGTACGAGGTGGAATGTTCTGTGTTGTATGGAGGCAAATGAGCGCCTTCCTGAAATTATTCAATTTGAAAAATCCAAAATGTAGGAAGAAGGCAAAGCTAAGTTCTCTTAGAAATCGTTAAACAAAAAACCGAACTCAACACAAACAATAAAACAAAACAAAGAAGACATGTTTAAACGCAATCAATTCACGTGCAAGAAAGAAACACACATCTACAAAAGTAACCACAGGAACACAGGACTGTTTTGTTTGATAATCAGCAAAGCCGACCAAAAGCAGCAATATCAGTGTGGTGGCTTTATCCCAATTGGTATTTTGTCCTCTTACGAAATGTCCCGTAAATGTCTGACACTCCATCCCTAACAATCCAGGTGGGCGGGGGGTGAAAGCAATAACATTTTATCGACTTTAATTACCCGGCAAACCCACTCGAATGCCACTTGATGACTGAGTTTTAATCTAAACCAAGCCAGGGGTCCTCTATCTGCGTCCCCATGCCTCCCAAACAACGTATCCTCATCGGCGGCATTATAAGAAGCTGTGCCGTAATGAGGTATGACTTTCCGGCGAGGCCCACATCTCTCCAGATCGCCCTCATTAACCCTTTGAAACCCTCCATCTTCTCCTTACTGCTCGCTCACCGTCGCTCTGCTGTGTGTCTGAGAGAGAGAAGGCCATGCACACTGTGTTATGTAACTCAGAGTTACACAATCCTCCCTCCACCCCCTCCATCCTCGCCCTCTCACTCTCATTAGAATGCAGGCAGCAAAATAAGCCTCAGCACAGCAGCAAAGGCTAATAAAAAAAGACGATAGGAAACAAGCCGGTGCTCTTCATCGTTACCTTCTCTGATGTGGCAGCCTCATTGTCTTCAATATTTTATGTTAACAGCTTACAGAATTACACATTTAAGCCTTATTATCTTGATACTTTGCCCCCTGTAGCATTCCGGTTCTCATACTCAAAGATGCTCTGTGCAACTTTGAACATTTAGCTTGAAGCCCGAGTCAGGATCTTTTTAATTTTACTACTTTTTAGAGACCATATGTGAGTTGAATTAAGTACGAGTTCCTGTAATCATTCCTCATACTCATACTGGCCATGAAGTTATCTTGCAAATACTGTCTTAAAAAAGAGGACACACTCAACAGTACTTATTCTGTTTAGCTTTTTGTTCTGATGTAACCACTCTAGGAAGCTTTTTATCATGGATGTAGCACGCTAGCTATGTAGGAAGATACCGTTCTCTGAAAGTCAAAATGTTAAGGCTATTTTCTCATAGACTTCTATACAATATGATTTATTTTTGCAACCTGTGGTAACTACTGGCCAAACAATTCAAGTTTAAGGCACTTGAACTGGCACTGTGGTTACAAATGGATTAAGACAGACATAACATATATTTCCCATAAATGTATTTCGCAGTCTTCACAGCTTGCTTCCTGTAACTTGACCTGAAGATGGTGAACAGCCCTCATGTCTCCATGCAACACTACCTTTTGTGCTGCCAACAATCCCAATGTTTCCAGACTAATCCACAGCATCTCTGGTAGGGATCGCATGATGTTGCTGCAGGCTGATGTGTGTTCAGTTTGAAATCACACATCCTGTTCTGAGCAGCAGCCTTCAGTTTGTGCTGCACAGCGGGGGGCCGGGCAGCACTGACACCTTATTAGCGTCGCCAGTCTAGTGTTTGACGGTTCCTCCTGAAGGAGCACAGACACCCCCCACAGCACCTCACCATGTCTGCTCACCTTGTTAGTGTGCTTAGATGGCTCCTGTCTAGCTGTTTGCCTTGATATTTGGGTTATTGCCCTGATCTGGAGAAAAACAGCCCTGTTTGTGTGTTTGTGTGCTCTTTTTCAGCATGTAGGTGCCTGGCCATGTGAGTGGGTGCATGTCTATGAGAGAATGAAGCGACAAAGGTATCAAAGAGCTTTGTAACCGGAGGAATATGCAACCTAGCAACCAGCCCTCCTCCTCATGTACACCGCTGGCCTGGATTGGCACTCATACAGTGGAGAGAAGAGAGTGTGTGTGAGTGTATTATTGCAAATCACCTCAAGCTTTAGAATATTAAACTGGGGACACAGAGAGATCACAGCAGAGGGGTTATTTTTTAAAGAATTTTCTGTAAGAGAAAAAATATGTAGATAAATAAAATGTGTCCACGCCCTAATCATTGACGTCAATGGCAAAACACCTGCTGTTTGGAAGCTGTGATCTTTCAATCTGATGTGGGAATTGAATAGTATTTTGTAAATTATAAAAAATCGATAGGAAATAGGTAAAGTTAGAGCCCATGTCTCGTTTTATCTCGGCGAGGGAGGACCTGGGTCAGATTAGAAATGCGACAAGGAGCTGTTAACCAATTGGAATTGAATTACCTCATTACCCGTCTCAGCGGGACCTTTCCTCGGCCATGACTGCCGAGCACAGAGGAAATGTATGTGGTGAAGGAAGTGTCACTGTTCCTCTCTCTGCAAACACACATTCAGTCTGAAGACAGTTCTCAGTAGATGGCAGCCTAACACACACACACACACATCCAGCAAATCCCCTGTGTGTTCCCACCAGTTTTGATTTGAAAAGCAGTAATCTCACAGAAGTAAGAAAATACGGCCGAATGATCTTGAAGCACAATTGATCAAATATCCACCCATTCTAAGAAAAGCTTTGAGTCAAGTTGTCAGTGTTATTTAATGATTTATCCTTAGAGCTATGGATCAAGCATTGATGATCAAACATTTTTTTAAATGTGATGAAGTATAAAAATGTCTCTCCTCCATCTCCCTCAAAGTTTCTGCTCTAACCTCAAAGTGGTGGCAGGGTCAGGGACATCAAATATTATGTATAAGCCTGGTTCCATGTTCAAATTTGTCGAGCAGCTCAAATAGGTCTGGTGTTGTTTCTGTCAATGGCTGTTTGAACAGGACAGGACTGTTGATCATCAGTGTGGCGAAGGATGGACTGTTTAACCGCTGCCCAACACCACAGAATAAATCCAAATACGTATTTTTCTTTCCTAAACTTTTAGAATAAGCTGCTAACATTAACCGTTACAAATTGTCCAAACTCAGCTATGTCCCCCCAGATTCTTAATTGTTCTGGGAAATATTTGCCTATTTCACAAAAAGCACATTTTGCTCAAAAGAAACCATTTCTTCTAATGGCCAGCAGGGGAAAACTCTAAATTTCAAAACATGGCTTGTATAAAAGTCTATGAGAACATTACCCGACCTTTAATTAGATTTTTTTTTATACCTCAGTAAATAAATTGCTAGTTTCCTTCACTTTTTCACTATCAATCAATCAATGTTTATTTATATAGCCCAATATCACAAATGTTACATTTGTCTCAGTGGACTTCACAGTTTGTACAGAATATCAGTATGACAATACGACACCCTCTGTCCTTAGACCCTCTGTCCTTAGACCCTCACATCGTACAAGGAAAAACTTCCGGAGAAAACCCACAGTTTAAAGGGGAAAATGGGAGAAACCTCAGGGAGAGCAACAGAGGAGGGATCCCTCTCCCAGGACGGACAGACGTGCAATAGATGCCGTGTGTAAATTGAAAAGATGATACATTTACAACATAGGTAGTCCAAATGTTTGGAAATGCATGTGTCTATAATAAGAAGATGAATCCACGAGGATGTCAGCAATCTTGTGGGAGCCATCAGGGAAGTAGTATGGTGAGAGTCTGGCAGGACCGCAGAGACAGGTTCAGCCACGACTCGAAGTCCAGGACTCAGATCCAGTGCTCAGGATAGAGGATCCAGGACACACGACCACAGCAACATGATTAGCCTCGACTCAGGATCCCGGCGTATATGGACACAAAAAAGAGATTTGGGGGAAGCTGGGTTAATCGGAACATGAGAGTACACAGGTACAAACAGCCAGAAAGACGGAGTAAGGTGCCCCCCTCAACAGTCCAAGCCTATAGCAGCTAAACTAACGTGTCTACATACATGCACTCCCTTAGGATAGGTTGAGGGAAAAGAGTAGCAAGTAAGAAGTAGGAAACAGAGGTGGAGAGGCACACAGGGAGAAAAAGGTCCCCATTGGAACCTGAATTGGTTAGAGGTAAGGAGTAGGTCTGTGGCTACGTTCCACACTCCCGGGATAGGCCTCTCTGCAACCTGTTAGCCTCTATTAGAACCTCGAGAGGTCATAGAGGGGAAAGGTTTCGATAAAGTTTTAAATATAAGATCTAAGTTTTTAGGATTTAAGTGAAAGAGTAAGAACTAAAATGTATAGGTGAAGAGGAACAACGTATCTACGTCAATGCACTCTTAGATTATTTTTTTGTATCACTATAAGCTTTATCAAAAAGGAAGGTCTTAAGCGTACTCTTAAAAACGGATAGGCTGTCTGCCGCCCGAACACAAACTGGAAGCTGATTCCACAAATGTACTACAGGATAATGTTCTAATAACATCCTATATAATTATCCTTGGCTTATACAGAAAGACACTAATAAATAGGTTGTTGATTTGTTCCCAAAACAGCTTATTTTGTCTTAGCTAGTCAAAATTATCAATGTAATTAATGTTAGGGATTGAATCATAAATGCACCATGCTAACACACTGCAGCTAGCATGGTGCATTGCATGGTTAGCATGGTGCATGGTGCATTGCATGGTGCACTGCAGCTAACAGTGTAAATAATAATGTAAAGCACACAAGAAATGCAGCAATAATAGGGAGAAGTGGATATAATGTTGTGAATAATGTGGAAAAGGGTGTTAAATTAAACACTTAATTAAAGAAGAAAAATAAGATGCATGACATAAGATGGAAAGTAAAACCCATAAGAGTAACATTACAGCCTATTGTGCTCTCTCTACCAATCAACGCCTATATGGTCTCTCAGGCTGTGCAGAAACACAACAGAACCCACTAAGTGTTTGTACTCATGGATCTGAATTGCACAATAAGTGTCCCATTCTCATCGCTCATTGCTGATTAA